ATTTTTTAAAAACTTTAAAGTTCCACTTGGCATATGTCCAAGGGAAGAGATAACAATCGGTGTAAAAATATAATTTGTGAATTTGGAATATTTCATTGTTTTTTTTTCTCGGCTATATCAACCGGATTAGAATTTAAATTTTTTGGGAAAGAAGATACGCATGTGAAGTCCCAAATTAAGGATTTCCCTAAAGACCAAGGCACGGAAGTTAAGCCATCAGGTCTTAGGCCATCATCTAACGATAAATTTGTAGGCTCCAGGATGTTTGGTATTCGGGCCCTGGTAAGAGAACGGCTAATAGCTAAATTAATTGAATATTCCAAATTCACAAATTATATTTTTACACCGATTGTTATCTCTTCCCTTGGACATATGCCAAGTGGAACTTTAAAGTTTTTAAAAAATATAGGGGATTTAAAACAATAATAAATTAAAAAAATATTTTTTAAAAATTATAAATATCATAATCACGCTTGAAATCATAATTATAAACTAAGAATAAAATTATATAAAATAACAAATTTTATTAATCTAAATAAAAAATATAACTTGATAATTCCTACCAACGATAATTTTACAAATATTTACACTCAATCCTTTTCTCCAGAGTTGTTAAAGTAGCGAACTCCTTGTTTTAAATTATTTATTTTCTAGCGCGCTCCTTTTTTTAAAATTATTTAAAAAATATAATGAATATGTAAATTTAAATATATATCATAATTAAATATAAATTTTATGATTTATTATTTAATTTTGAAATGAAATATATTCTCAATTTGTAATTTACATTTTCAATTTGTATTCTAAACCTAAATCATCTGGTGTAAATTATTTAAAATGTCATCACAAATGGATATCCAAATCGATGTAAGTGAGTCAGACGATGATATTAATTAAATGGAAGATACTCGGGAAGAAATTGTTCTTAATAACAATAATACAAATTTCCCATTTACAAAATTTGAAAAATTTTTTGAAATTAAATAAAACTAAAACTGGGTACAAATTTATTTGTTCAAACTTTAAAAAAATATATCCTAAAATCAATCCAGTAGCTATAAACTCAAAAAACACCTTAAGGTAATTGTCATTTTTAAATTCTAATAGTATTTATTTTATAAAAATGTTCATGTCAACAGTTTTAATCTAAATAATTTTCGTATAAGCGACTCTACATCCATAGACCAATTCAATTCAAATGGATTAATAATGCACATGCCAATATTTCTTAGAAACTGGCTGATAAAGTTATTGTTAATTTTATAATTGATAGAGTTCAGCCAATGTCCTTGGTTGATAATCCATCATTTATCCCCTGGTACAATAATTTTATGTGGCCAGACACTAACGAATAAGATAGCAGATAACTTTAAAGTGATGAAAAATGCTCTAATGCCTAGTCATCAGAGATGCTCATGGCATAATCTAAATTTGATAGCAACAGTGGATGCTGAAGGAGCCCTAAAAATGAAGATTTTAAAAGGGTATCAATATCCACTTTTTATAAATGTCAAACTCTATTGAATAAGAAGAACAAATCTTCTAAAGGCTCAGCATATTTTAAAAAAAATTAGGCAGGTATTTATTGACTCCTAACCACACTAGATGGAACTCAGTATACCACGCAATCAAATTAGTAGCATTAAAAAGATGAATTTTCTTTGTGATCATGTTGAAATTCAATATATTAACGATGAAGAGAATACTTTTATAAAAGAGTATATAGAAGTAATTCTAATTAATAATTATTCAATTTCATGTCATTTTAATATTTTATGTTATGCAATATGTGATATGGCTATTTCCCTTGAAATTTTGTAAGGTGAGGATAATATGGAGATGACGGGGTATTATGTTCTCACTCTAAGTATCCTAATTACAAAATTACAGAGATTGAATTATCTAATCTTATGACAGCCCCTAGTAGACTTATGTTAGAAGGCATTAAGAGAAGGTAAATAAAATTTATATTGTTTCGATTTGACTGAATAATTTATTTCAAACTTAAAGTTAAAAATTTATAACATTTTATAATAAAAATTTAAATAAACTATTTTTGTAACTTTTAGATTCCCCAACCTATACAATAATGATAATATACTAGCTGCAATGATTCATCCCAATTTTAAACTAAACTGGCCATATATCAATTCCTATGATGCTATAGATCAACGAAACAGGCTCATGGTAAAGTTGAAGTCTCATATTAAACAAAAATGGCCTAGTTACAACCCCAAAAATAACTTCCACTGATTATTTTTTTGAAATAAAGGATAATATAATAGAAAATCCCCTCGACGCGTTTTTTAAATCTAAAAATGCTCAAATGAGTATTTTTGATAATATTTTTTATATTAAAAATATGTATCTAAAATTTTATACTGCCATGCCCTTAAGTGCTAGTGTTGAGAGATTATTTAGTAAGGCGAAACTTATACTTTGATCGTCGCTCTAGACTTGGGGATGATAATATTGAAATAATTTTATTATTAAAATGCAACAAAATAAATAAAACATGAATATTATCATAAATATTTATTTTATAATCAAAACTATAGTTAATAAATATTTATAAATGTTGATTTTTATATATTAATTACTACACAATTACATTAAAAAATAAAACAAATCTAAATTATTTTTATTATAGTGGTAGCGCGCTTAATTCAATAGTGTTTAACAACTATAATTTTCTTCCCCTTATTTGGGGTAGCTAATTATTTTCAGTTATTTTTTTTTCTCCCTTTTCTGGAGTAATTTTTATTTTCATTATTCTATCTCTCGATTTTTTGAAATAACTTTAATTTTATATTCAACTCAATCCAAAGATTTTTATTTAAAATATTTTTTTAAAAAAAAGCTTCATCGCCATATATAACTTCAAGTTTAAAATGACTTTCATATAACTACAATTATACATGGCTTAAAAAAAGACATTTTTATATTCTCGGCAATTGCAGTTTCTACCAAACAAAAAAAAATTACACACTTGAACTTGGGATTCTTATTCCTTAGGCACAACATATAATAAAATATGCTTAAATTTAACTATTGCTTCTTTTTAGGTATATAACTTAATTATGTTTTTATGAAAATTTATTTGGTTCATAAATTTTTTGCTTCATCTTATTTTATTTCTTAAATATGAAACAGAAAACTTTTAATCATAAAAAAATAATATATATAAAAACTAGTGATATATATACCTATATATATTTGTTTTAAAATATGCTAATTGCATACACCGATGTATAAGTATTTCTTATATATATATTCAAATATCATTACAAAAACTAAAATGATTTTGAACAAAATGAATTAATATTTAAATAAAGATAAAGCATACCCCAAATGAAATCTTTGTTACAGACCTGTAGGAACTTTCAAAACTTAAACCAATAACAATTTATACTCCTCATATCTCCTACCAAATCAAAAGAATAAAATTTACAACAAAATTACAAAAAAGGAAATTCAATTCAGAATTAGCAAAATAAGGAAATCTAAATAAATATCACCCCATCTATAAATTTAATATAAAAAAAATACATCAACACCTATTAAAAGAGATATATAAGAAATTTTTAGTACATACATATATAGGTATGAAATTCATTAAAATCCTATAATAAAGTATTTACATTAATTAATTTTTTAATACTAGTATTGCTTTATTAAACCAATATATCATTCCTATTGGATTGATTTATCAGCTATTGATATTGAATAGTATTGGTTTTAAAAATCAATGCAATATCTTATTTTATATTGGATTTTATTGGGATTGAAAATCATAAAAACACCAAGAAAACATTTGTATTCTTTCCTGTTCTATTACTAAATAAGAACAACATCTATAAAAGATTTTATTAAAATCATCTATTTAACATGGCAATACTTATTATATAACACTTTGTTAAAAATGGAATAGATGTGTCAACTCTATCAAATCATTTTGATTGAATTCCAAGCAACTCTTTGAACAGGAATATTAAAATTTATCATTTAAAATATATCCTCATTAATAATTATTTTAAATGCAATTAAATGTTATCTGAACCAGAACTCTTCAAATAAAAAGTTAAAACATTGAGAATAACAAACTTTAATAAAATCTGTTGCCATAAATAAATGAATACTGGCTTTTAGAATGTCCAAAACCATTTTAAAAAAATTTGAAAAGTTTAAAAAACTTTTAAAAATAATAGTTCTTAATTATTTGGACATGTTTTTATATTTAAAATAGCTTATTTATTTATATTAACGTTTCAAGTTTGTAAATTTAATTTTTAGATATTTTGAACAGTCAACTATTATTTGAAATGATGCCTCTCCAATCCCTAAATAATCTTAGATATAACACTAGTGGAACCAGTTATATGAATTTTTGCAAATTATTGTGAGAGGCATGTGATAGAAATGAAAGGTGGCTGAGAGGGTCCAACATGTTAAAGACAAGGGATATTGATTGTGGAGATAGAGTATTTCAAGTGGTGGGCACAAGGCTGCAAGAGCAAGAGACACGCTGGATGATTATGATAGAGGACATGAAAATAATAGTCTTTATGATTATAACTAAGATTGTAGAAAATGAAGAAGATTAGAAGGACTAGGAAAGACTATCATGAAGAAAAGTATAGCTTTAAAAATTTTAGAATATTTAATATAAATTAAAAATTTAAAGTATTTCAAATGTAATCAAAAATAATATAATAATAAAAAATAGTATGTGAAGGTATAGTATTTTAGAGAAAGCTGTTGTGAATAGTGTTGTTAAGTAGCTCAATTTGAGCCAATTTTTAAAAATGGCAAACTCAATATTTTAGTGAAAAATCCCAAGCATCAAGATTTCACTAATAGATGTCCAAACATCCATGAGCCAAATCTTCAGACTTGTGTAATATTTTTCTGAATAAAAAGTTGAGTTAGCTGTTTTTAAAAATCAACTCAAATTGAGCCATTTAACAACATATTTGTGATTGACATATTAATAATTAAAGTAACAAATAAAAATATATATTAACAAATATAAACTGTAATTTTATTGTCAATATAACAATTTTCTAATATATTTAATCCATCCTTCCTTTTAGCTTTCTGATTGTAACCTTTTCTGGTTCACTAAATATAAATTATTAATATATATTTTTTCATAAAAATACATAAGGTAAACTAGTGCTCCCCATCCTGAAGATGCATCTCTGTCCTGTGCATTAAGTAATGATTGAGATATAGCTTCAAATAATGTGTCAGGATCCTAAATATTTGAAATAAAATATTTTCAAAAAATTATAAGATATTACCATCTCAGGTTCCCAAAATGTTTCACAAATACCATATAACTGTTCACTTGCTGTTCCACCACATACAAAATCATGTGTTATCATTGAACATCCAATATTATCCATATTAGCAATAATAGGTTTTTTAGTTAATGTATTTAAACCTGCAATGACTGGTTCTATGAAATATGAACCAAATCTTCATAAAGCGATAATGCAAAATATGTAACAGTAATACCTTTTTTCATATAATAAATTTGCTAAAACATTAACAAATAATTCTGGAGACATTTCTTTATTTTCACGAATAGAGTATAAATTCAATCTAAATTTTAATCTTGAAACACTATTTGATAAAAAATAAATATCTAATATTATAAAATAAATATACATTGTTTGTGCATCAGTGGCTAATCCTGAAAATCCAACAAACAAATTAGGCCCCATTTCATAAATTTTTGGAAAATCCATAGATATGGTATGCAATTGCACACCAAAACGTAAGTCTGAGGCAATAGCACAGCAATTTTTACCTGCCATGGCGACAACACTCCCACCATTGTAAGAAAATATATTTGACTAAAATATAATAATTAAATAAGACAGAAAATTTTAAAGATACCATTTTAAATAGTTAATAATGGGTAATGGATATATAGCGTTGAACGTTGTTGATTTATATGGGTTTTTATTAAAATATAAGATAGCGTCGTAAATTATACTTGTATATAAAAAATATATATCTCAAGTAGAGTATATGGTTTAATTCGTGATATACTATCTACCAGGAGCCTAACAGCTGGGAGAAGGTTAACCTCCAAGCCAAAAAATTTAGACAATTACAATATTTCTTAATTTCCAATATCAAATAATGACGAATTTATAAAGTTGGAAGTAGAGGTTTGCAATAGGCGGGTTTTTGGACCAATAGCCCTCTTACCCAATGTATTAAAAAAATTTAACACGCCCGCCCAGCCCGCTCATAGTTTTCAAAAAAAAAAATATTTTACCCGCCCGCTTATTATTTATAAAAAAATTTAACCCAAGCCCGCTTATAAAATTTAATTATGGCCATTCTTTCAATTTTTTAAGCATCTAATAAAAATATTTCAGCATTACACCTCTACAAAAAGTTTATAATTTAGGATATTAATTTAATAAAAAAAATAATCAATTTAAATTATGGACAATTTATTTGATCAAATAAAATATTTATGAAAAAATTATTAATATAAAATTGATATTATATGTAATTATAATGCAAAAATAATAGTAAATCGACATTTTCTGGATTCAAAGTTCTAAAAACCTTCTAGAAATGCTAAATCCTCGTTCAGAAAAAAACACTAGTTGCAGGAATTGCCAATATTTTTCTTGCTAATCTTGATTGCTCTGGCAAATCTGTCGTTTCCACCAAAGTAGGATATCCGTTTGAAGTATATTTTCTTCCTCAAGTGAAATTCGGATGTCCCGTATGCAATATATGTAAAACTCTTTTTAAAGTGAGTACTAAATGATTAATCTGCCATTCCAAAATAAAATACCGTGCTATTTTTGTAATCGTTTTCATGCTATTCGGAATGTAACAGAACAAAATACTATACAGTTTTATAAACCGGACCTCGATTTAATAATAGAAACAGATGCATCTAACCAAGGATTTGGAGCTCTACTCATGCAAAAATATGATAATGGTAACAAATTTCTAATAGCTTACAACTCAAAAACTTTACAAGACGCTGAAAAGAATTATTCTACAATAGACAAAGGAGCAAAAGCAATAATAAACGGCGTAGAAAAATTTTATAACTATTTGTATGGACGAAAATTTAAAATACGAACAGACCACAAACCTGGTAATAGCAGAGATTTACGCTTATTAATAAACCAAAAATGATTACGTTGAGTTTATAAATTATCTGCATATGATTACGATATAATGTACAGGAATGGCGCTAATAATATAACTGCAGATGCTTTATCACAAAACCCGATAGAAAAAAATGATGATGGAATAAAAGCGAAAATAAAACCGTGAAATATATTAGAAAATTTACTTATGACACATTAACTCTATCAAGAAAAGAAATTAGAGAGGAAGCGGCAAAAGATCCAATTTTAAGAAGAGTAAAAATATTAATTAATTGTACAAATATACAAATTCAAACACCAGAATTAGAAGCTTTTAGAACAAGAATAGATAAAATAGAAAATGTTGACGGTATTTTATTTTGGAATGGCAGATTAATCATTCCGTACTCACTTCAAAAAAGAGTTTTACATATATTGCATACGGGATATTCGGGTATTACATCAATGAAATCCATTATGAGACATTATATATGGTGAGAACCATTAGTGTCGAAAAAAATAGTAAAGTGTTCTTCACCTAAAAAAACGATTGATACAATAAAAAAATAATATTGTTATTGATCATTTAATTAATTATGATTTTTCTTTAGTTTGTTTTTGAACAAAAATTTTAAATTTCTTAACCGGCCCACCCACCCGCCCACCCATAATTTCAAAAAAATTTTTAACCCGCCCACCTGTCCATTCTCAAAAATTTTTTTACCCACCCATCCGCGCGCCCGCTTAAATTGGAGGGCAGGCCGAAACCCCGCCCAATACAGACCTCTAGTTGGAAGAGCCTATTATATGTGCTCTTAGTGAAATGGCAGAATGGCAAAGATTCTCTTCAAAAGATGCCTTACTAGTAGTGTTGCTAAACGGCCAGATTTGGGTCGATTTAACTAAAATAATATTATGTAAATCTGGAGATTTTACTCGTATATGGCATAGAGGTTTCCATCTCTGTTAACCAATCTTGAGATAAACATAATATTATTTTGACTAAATTCATAAATGGGGAGTTATTAAAAATTGGCCCAAATCCAGCTGTGTAATAACATTACTTCTAGATTAGATAAGTGCACACAACTTTGCTATAATTAAGGTGCATCAAAAGAATATCTAATTACACTAGTTTTTTTAGGGAGATTTAATACTATTTGCAAGGAAAAAATGCTATCTTATTTTCATGCTCATTCGCCATAACGAATCGATTTAATTTTACAAGGATATTAAAACAAGCCGATATTTGGATAATAACATCTCGCCCAAATACTATTTTCAATTATTTCCAAACAAAAAAAATAAAGTTGATGTAATAATTCTTTATATTTTTAAAATATAAATTTTATTTTTAGGAATTATCATCAGATAATAAGAAGAATTTGTATTCTTCCGGCTTAATTTAAGCAATGGTAATAATTCTCTATATTTTTAACAGACTAAATGTTTAGCTTTTATCATCAGATATATTAAACAATTGTGGTAGTCTTCAGGCCTAATTCAAGCATAGGCCTAGCCAGGAATTTTCTACAGGGGGGTGGGGTAATTTTTCGAACTAATTATCATATAAATTTTATTAGAGCCCATCATATTTGAAAATATGATATTTCGAACACAAATATAAAGTATTGGAAAATTCAAAATATTAAGAGCGAATATAATATGGTTAAAAAATATTATAGCAATTTAAATCGGTATGTAAATCACAATTAAATAAAAAGGTAAACATTTTAATATCATTTTAAAATATATCATTCATAAATAAAAATTCAATTCTTTGCGATTTCGCCAATTTTTAATAATTTGTTCTGTGAAAGCTATATTCACTAAATTCTTGATATAAGTCTTTATTTTCTAATTGGTATCATTGCCAAAATATACAGTATAATATACTTGGAAAACTTATAAAATATATTTTTAAGTATGCAATGCTTCCACTGTATTTTTAGATTTATATCCTATGAATAAAATTTAGCTAAATACTTAATTTTTCAAAATCAAGATTTGATATATCCTCAGATAAGAGGGAGTTATAAAATATAGAATTTGTAAATTGGATAGAGTCATTTGATAAATCCCAAATATTGTTTTAGTCAAAATTTATAATAATCTTCAAGTGAGTTTAGTTTATTATTAGAACAATTTGTTTGTCAGTGAAAGTCGAGGCTTGTGAATCACAAAATCGTATAATTTCGCTTTCACCTCAACAATCACATAAATATCAAGAAATTTTTGGTCGATTTGATCTCTTGGTTTCTAAGTTGTAATATAATAATATTCTCATACAGCCAAATCTGTTTTTATGAATAAATATTGCATAAAATTGTTGTGTAATAAATAATTTATTAATACATTTCAATGAAAAATATCATCATTCATTAAATTTAATAATGTAACAGCTTCAGGTGAAAGATCTGTTTCAGGTGATACTATTTCTCTAAGGGCATACAAAATAGTCTCCTCTATAACAGTTTGATATCGAAGTCTCTATCTTGTTGTACAGGTTTCGTATAGTTTCTTTTTTCCTGTAGCACAAGAAGTCAGAAATAATTATATTCATCAAATTCTGTCTATTGAGATATCTGAATATTTCATACACTTTAGATATTTTTTAATCATAGTTATTACTTGAGATAAATTAAATAGTATTTTTTTTGGTTATATCCATCAGTGTTTAAGATTTAAAAAATATAAGAAAATAAACTTTAAATTTTCGTGCGATAAAATATTAATATACAAGGAATAAATATAAATAAATTTTAACTTATTACTAATATTTAGAATAGAAAATAACCTATTTTAAAATAGAATACTTTGAAATTCTCAATTCATGAAGCCCTTATTTTTAACTATATAATTTTTATCTATTAAAGTTGATGTTTTCAGCCAACATCATGAGAATGGGAAAAATATTTTGATGTTAGGCATGAGTGTGATAAAAATATTTTAGTAGTAACATCAAAACTTAGTGATCCCAAGCTGTAATTATCCTTAATTTGTAATTTATTTATATATTTTCTAATAAATTTTTTTTTTTCAATCCATATAAATTTAGGCTAAATTCTTTAAAATGGTTCGCATAAATTATTTATTTGTGTATCTGTTAAAATTAAAAGTATACTAAGCTACCATGAGTATTGGTTCATATCAGCAGCAAGCAAGATGTAAGGATATTTATACCCATTGGTTGTGAAATATTTATGTTTAATAATTTAAAATACATAAATAAAAATGAAAACACAAAAAGAATAATAGAATTAAGCAAAATGTTAAGATAACATTATGTATAAATATAAAAATTATTAGAATTGATAATTTCCATATTATTTAGAATAAATCAGTGGTGTCAATAGCTTTACAATCCCAGGGAGCTCTACTAAAAAAGTTTTATAGGAGACTTCGCCCCACCATGGCATTATATTTGCAGGCCTTTGGCCCGCCTTTGCATTATACTTTTGAAATTAAAATTTACAAACTCTGAACTTAGTATTCAAATTATTATAGCATATTGTTATAAATATTTATTTTAAGTTTTTTTATTTTAATGATATTTATTTTAAGTTTTTTTATTTTAATGATATTTATTTTAAGTTTTTTTATTTTAATGATATTTATTTTAGTTTTAAAGTTTAATGGGGGAGAAAAAGGTAAAAAGAAAGAAAATGGAAAAGTAAGGGAAGAGAAAAAGAGAAAGAAAACAATAAATTGAAGGTGAAAAAAAAAGGAGAAAGAAATAAAAGGGGAAATCAAAAGGAAAATGATTAAGAAAAAGAAAAAGTTATTGGAAAAAAATGAAAAGAAAGGGGAGAGGGTAGGTAGAGCCGTAAAAGTTCGATTTGGGTCAATTTTTTAAAACAACCCAATTAGGATATTTTAGCCAAAATAATAATATGTAAGACTGAGGAT